TGCTCCAGGAGGAGCGTGCTTGGCTTGCTGGGGATGGATGAGGACACGGGTGGCCGAGGAGAGTGAAGATCCATCCACCTGTGAGGATATCTGAACCTGTGCCTGTGTATTCACGTGCTTGTTTGCTAGCAGTCACTGGCAGGCCACCACAGAGCTCTGGGTTGTATCTAAGGTCATGAGGAGTAAGGAGGGTTTGGAGCTGAGGAATGCTCCCGTGGCCACCATGGCGGAGAAGAGAGGCAAGAATTAGACGGGGTGCTAGGCATGGAGGTGCCTGGATTCTTAAGACAGTTTGCTGGCTGGGAAGACAGGACATGCCATGGATGTGCTGCAGGGCCCAACAGACTTAAAGATGAGCCCAAAGCTCTGCCTGAGCCCCAAGGAGTTGCAGGTGACAGAGATGGGAGCAGACTAGGGCCGGAGAGAATCGAGAGTGGGAAGGACCCACACTCCTGGTGTTGCTGGTGGGCAGCAGGTAGAGGCAGCAGGTGGGCTGTGTGAGTGGACGCTGGAGGCTGCAGGCTGGAGGGTTCCCAGGGGAGCCCAGAAGGTGCCAGAGAAGTGTAAGAGTTGGCATGCCGCATGCCATGGGGCTAGCTGAGATTGCCCAGGCCACATCAGCCTGTCTTTTAGGGCGCTTCCGGCGATCATGTACCCACAGAGTCCTAGCACAACATGCCTTCCACGTTACTGGGTTACCTCTGTTTCTACCAGCAAGGAAGCTGAGGTCTAGGGCATTGAACTAGTGTTGTCAAGGCAAACAGCCTTCCTAGGGTCTGAATAGGAGCTCAGGACAGGAGCCGCATGGGCCTTGCTAAGGCAGGAGACCAGCTGGGTTGACCTTGGAAAAGCTGGGAGAGTCTGCCCACCTCCCTGGGCCAGGCCTGGAGTGACTCAGGCCTTGGCTGCTGCTCGCTCTAGGAGTGGAGCTGGCCGTGTGCCACCCCTGCCAGGCCTGGATTCCTTTGCTGGGAGGAGGAGGAGGAGGAGGAGGAGGAGGAGGAGGAGGAGGATGCCCTCGGCCTGGCTCCCTGGGACATGGGGGAGAACAGGTGTGGGTTTCTGCTTCCAGGTCCTCAGGTCACCACAGCCCTGAGTTCGCGAGAGGTCTAACGGGCTCAGTGGGTTTGACTCACTTCCTTTGTCAGAAGCCACTCAGGGGTTATCTCCCTGTTTCCCTGCCAGAGCTCTGCAGCTGGGGTTCAGAGGGGTGCTATGGTTTCCCCAGGATCACAGAGGTCTGGGGCAGAGCCAGCAGACCTCCCCCGTGCTGTGTGGGTCACATTCCTGTGAATAAACATCCCGAGCCTGGGGCACCTGGCTGCATTTCTCAGCCTTCTTGGCTCTTAGCCCTGCAAGGCTTACTTGGCATTTTTGGCTTTTAGGAAGTAGGTTGCTAATTCTGTTCTCTTTTCACACTAGCTGTGTGGCTTTGGGCAAGTTACCTAACTTCTCTGGCGCATTTTCCGTAGCTATAAAACAGAGATGGTGGCACCTATCTCTTGGGGTTGTAATAAAGATGAACGGTGAAAGTGCCTAGCACAGACTCATAAACCTAGGTCACCTGAGGGCCTTCGTTCTTTCATGTGCCTTAAATTGCTTTCTGTTTGAGCAGAGCTGGTAGCAGAAGCAGCCTGACATGGATGACTTTGACCTTAGGGACAGCCCTTCTTTCTGTGGCTAGCCACACCTCAGGGCTGGTGTAGCGAGGCGTAGAGGACAGTCCTCGGAGATTGGGGACCCTTCCAGCCCTTCCTGGTACTATCTGTAGGCAACCTGGCTTCAGGACCCTGCGTGGGTGGTATGCACTCAGGATACCCTGTCTTACCACTTTGCATCCAGGCTGTGTGCAGAGGCTGTCCAGCCAGCGTCCCTCCCCGCCATGCCATGAGGACCAGCATTTCCTTCAGGGGCCTGAAGGAATTCCAGGGATGACATCTAGATACCACAAAGAGTCCTTGAGAATTGCCCACTCTGTCCCCCCACCCTCGGAGGCAGCTTGGCCGGCACCCCAACTGCGCCTGGCTTTTTACCAGCCTCCGGGGGCAGAGACAGCAGAACGCGGCTCACCACCCTCCAGGCCCTGTGCTGAGGGCTTGCTTGTTTTCTTTGCATGGAAGCCATATAAGGGCTGCGTATACATGAGGGCACTGGGCCACAAAGAGGACAAGGATGTGTAGGAGTCTGCAGCCGGGTGAGCAGCTCATGCTCACTGTCACTGAGCACCAGGTGCCAGGACACCTTTTAGGGCTTCTTAACACCAGCTGAGGGGACTGTCCAAAGGACTGCTAATGGGGACATGGATGCCCCATTTCTCTTCTTCCTCGCCCTGGGTGGCTGGGTCCTGACCTCTTTCTCCAAGTGACAGCTGACTCCCCTGTCTTTCCTGCAGAATTATCAGAGGGACGGGGACATGGTGGCTTTACTCCCAGGGGCCTGAGCATGAGACTTGTCCCTGTGTGTGATGACACTGTGATAGACACTGGCCCAGGGGTCTGTGTTACAGGTCTCACTCAGGACAGGTCCCCAGAGCCCAGGTCAGAGCAGCCACTAGGGTGGAGCCAGAGCACAGCCTTGGCTCTGCTGCTGTGTTTGAGGGTGCAGCAGGTTGGGGATCTGCAGCCAGCTGTGGGAAGCCACAAACCGAATGCATGGATGGTCATTTGAGGTCAGCCTTCTGTTTCTCCTTGTGAAACGGCTTTGGCCTTCCTGGGCTGTGAATGGCGCATCTGGGCAGAAGGAGGTAGAAGATAAATCGTGTTTTACCCAGGCAACAGGATACCACGCAGGCAGCACGCGTGATGGGGTAGGTCTGTGTGTTCTGTCAGGGGAGGGTGCACACCATATATCATTCTGCAGTGAAACTAGGACACAGTAGAATTTATGGTTCGATCACATTATAAAAATCGATTGACTGATTGATTGATTTTTATGATAGTAGGGACTGAAGCCAGAGCCTTGCTTGTGCAAGGCAAGGACCCTACACCAAGCTACATCCCTCCCCCACTCCTTTTTTAAAATATACATTATTTTGAGACAGGGGCTTGCTAAATTACCCTGGCTGGGCTTAAACTTGTGATCCTCCTATCTCAGACTCCCAACTGGCTGGGATATAGGCATATGCCACTGTGCCTAGCGATGACATTTTAGCAAAATACATTCATGCATGTGATAATATATGCAAAGAACAAGTATGCACACACAAGGACAAATGTAGACACAGGTTTCTGTTAGCAGATTTTCTCAGGGAGGGACTGGATTTGTGCCTTGCACCTTCAGTCTCCACTGGCTTGCACAGAGCATGAGCTACCTGTGGTTTCCCAGCCTCAAACCCAACCCACCTTTCTGAGATGAGGCAGACTCTCAGCAGGCCCACGGCAGGAGCCTCTGACACGAGGAGGTAGAGGTCTGAGGTCTGAGAATCTCAGCATGGTGGTACTTGAAGCCACTGGACGAGTATGAGGGCCCAATGACCTACAGGCACTGGAAGTCACTGGCAGTGGTGCACCCTCTGATGGGTGGGGAGGCCCCTGTCCCGCACAGCCCTCAGTCCCTGGTTTGATCCCACAAGGATGATCCCACGGCTTCACTCACATGACTGTTTCCCTGTGGGGTAAAGCTTGTGACCTCCAAGTCCTAGAAGAGGAAAATACAGCCAGTGCTTTTCTGCAGTTAGCTAAGGGTCTGTCCATCCATGGTGAGCGGGAGAGAGCCAGAATGAGGTGTTTTCAGACTCATTTGACCCCGCCTGTTCGCACCGCCCTGCGGTGATCCTGGCAGTGGTGTCCGTGCCTGGTTCTGAGTGGGCCGGGTGGTTTTCTGTGGTGGATGCAGGTTCCTAGCTGTGTTTGACTTTCAGCTCTGTGCGCACAGAACCTCAGGCACACTGTGCTGGGGTTGGGGGTGCACGCGGGGCTGGCTGGGACAGAGGAACTGGGTTTGGGGGAGAACTTAAGATAGTTATGGCTCCTTAAGAGCTTTCAAAAGAAACTTCTAGGGCTTTCTTTCTTCCTCCTTTCTTTCTTTCTTTTTAAATACACAGGGCACTCAGTATTCTTTAAAAACAGATCTGGGGCTGGGGATTTAGCTCAGTGGCATAAGCACCTGCCTTGCAAGTGTATGGTTGTGAGTTCGATCCCTGGTACCAATAAAAAAGAAAAAAACCAAAAAAAAAAAAAAAACCAGATCCACATCTCTGATATACTGTAACTTGCCGGCCTAACAGAGTGTTGTGGAGATGCAGCCCAGCCTGGCTCCTTCCTGCAGGAATGGTGCTTCTGTTTGTTTGTTTTTTCTTTTTTGTCCTTTTGAGACAGGGTCTTGATATATGGTTCAAGCTGGACTTGAGCTTACTCTGTAGCCCACGCTGGTTTTGAACTCGCAAGGGTTCTCCTGCCTCAGCCTCCCAAGTGCTGGGATTACAGGTGTGCGCTACCACACCTGGCAGGACTGGTGCTTCTGAAGGGCCTGGACTGAGTGCTAGGGCCTGGCCTGAGCTCTCTCAGGGAGGCAGCATCAGTGCTGGGCCTCCTCAGTCATCCGTGGCTCCTCACGAATGGAAATGATCTTTCTCAGGTTGGAGGTTCCGGTGATGCTGGGGAGACCCTCAGATTCAGGAGGACTCTGCACGAGGGAGACCTTGTGGTGACAGGAGTGATGTTGGGATGGTGATGTGGGAAGATGGGGAGCAGGACCCGGAGCCCCTTCCGCCCATCATCCAGTCCTCGGGAGCTCCTTGGCAGTATGCATAGTGATTGAGACCGGTGGCTGGAGGTGGGGCGTGTATCCTGGGTTCAAATCCTGCCTCTGCTACTTCGAGTCTATGCGGAGCCTGTGCACCAACCATAGAGCGCTGGCTCGGGTTAGTCCCAGGAGCCCGCAAAAACTGCAGCCATAGAGGGAGCAGGAAGAGGCAGGTCTCCCCAGTGTGGCCCGGGTCGCCTCCGCCGCCTTCAATTCCTGACTTTCCACCCAGACTTCTTGTTTTTCTCCTGTTCCAGGTGGGATCCGGAGCCTGCGACAGCATGCCCCGGTGGTATGGATGACCCGCATCCAGCCAAGCCCGGCCCAGGCCCGCGTGCCCCGTCCCGTGAGCGCTGCTTCCCAGCGGCTGTCCGGGGCTTCGTACCTGTAAGCCTCCTGACTCGTGCGGAGGAAGAGGCGCAGGGGTGAGCGGTGAGCTCCGGGTACCGGCGGAGCAAGGAAGGAAGCAAGCACGCGAGTGGCCGACGGCGGAAGGAGCAGGGACGAGGGGCTCCACGGCCGATTGACCGGAAACATTTTCCCCACGAGGCTGCACAAAATGACCAGCCTGTTCCGCAGGAGCAGTGGGGGCGGCGGTGCAGGGGCACGCGGGGCCGGGGCGGGGACCGGGGGTGGCCCCGCAGCTCCGCAGGAGCTCAACAACAGCCGGCCGGCCCGCCAGGTGCGCCGCCTGGAGTTCAACCAGGCTATGGACGACTTCAAGACCATGTTCCCCAACATGGACCACGACATCATTGAGTGCGTGCTGCGTGCCAACAGCGGCGCCGTGGACGCCACCATCGACCAGCTGCTGCAGATGAACCTGGAGGGTGGCGGCGGCAGCGCCTACGAGGATAGCTCCGACTCAGAGGAAAGCATCCCCCCGGAGGTAGGCTCCGGGTGACTCCCCTGCCTAGGTTCCAACGGGCCAGCAGGCTTCCTTTCCCTTGGAAAACGCAGAATCAGACAGCAGCGTTAGTTTAAGGAGCAGAAACCGTGCAGTCATTCAACAAACATTGACCTCTGAGTGGTGCACCAGAATCAGGGGTCATCAGAATTAAAGTGCTTGTTGAAAATGCAGAGTCCCAGTTCCAGGGCCAGAATCTTCTAGTGTATACTTCTCAAGAAAGGATTGCCAGAAAAAAAAAAAGAAAAAGAAAGGATTGCCAGGTATGGAGGCACACACCTGTAATCTCAGGCACTCAGGAGGCAGAAGGAGCCCCATGAAGTGGAGACTAGCCTGGGCTCCATAGTGAGTTCAAGGCCAGCCTCCATTACATAGCAAGACTCTCTGTGGCCAAGTCAGACAGAGCTGGTACCCAACAGTGCTCACAGTCCACTGTGGACTGCAGCAAGACAGGGCCCACAGATGAGATTTAACTGCTCTGTCTTGGGTCCCAGCATGTACTGGGAACCAGCACTTGGAAGTAGCCTCTCTCTAGCCCCGACCCACTGTAGGGAGAGCTTTATTTTTATTGTCCTCATTACGGTGATAAACCCACACCCAGGTAAGGCTGTGGAGTCTTCCTCTTCCCATGGTCCTCAGCAGTCAGTCGTCCTGCAGGGCCAAGTCCTGCTGCCCCCAGTGCCCTGCCCTGGCAAGTTCTCTTGGGACTTTCTGTGCAGGGAAGAAGCTGTGTGAGTAATGACCCCTGCCTTGCCCCTGTGTCACATGCAGCACCCAGGACAATCCAGACATAGAGCAGACACTCACGGAGTGTGTGTTGAATGAGTTAATTTTCTCTCAACTCTTATTGAGCTGTCTGGATTAGCCAGTGGAAATATGGGAAGGCCCAGATGTGTGTGTGTGTGTGTGTGTGTGTGTGTGTGTGTGTGTGTGTGTGTGTGATGCATGCACAGTACATTTTTGGAGGGAAGTTCCCTGCATTCTCTCACTCTGTAGACTCGTTGTTCTTGACAGTCTGATAAGCAGAATTTTCCTCCTTATCCCTGGTGCTCACAGCTCTACCTGTTTCTCCAGTTAGTCCCTATGTCACTTGTGCTGTGTGTGACTTGTTCTCCAGCCAAGCCCCTTCGGGCACCCCGCTCCCCCTCTGGCGCCCTGCCTGGGCCCATGAGCAGCCAGCTCTGATCCGAGCCCAGCCAGTAAGAAGTCTGCAGAAAATTTACGAGCAGCAGCTGGATTGACAGTAACTACTGACTGGGAAAAAAAACCCTCTCGTGCTGATGGATGGCGGGCTGGCCCGAGGGGTACCCTTATCACAGATAAATGGCCCAGACCCTGACCCCCCCACCCAGCACCTGGCAGGCCTTTGTCACCCACAGCAAATTAAGCTAGGATCCCACAGAACTGAAAACCCCAGCACCTTTAGAGCCAGAACAGGCTCCTTGGGGCTGGTAGGGTAGCCGAGGAGGCTGGGAAGGAGACTGGGGTCTGCCTTTGCAGAGATTGGCTGCCTCCGAACAGGGATGTACACATCCCTGTTCCTCTCCCGGAGGCTCCTGGGGCTGCACCAAGGATCTGATCTCCAGGGTCTGGGGGTTCGTCTGCTGCACTCTCAGCAAAGGAAACCAGGGAAGCTTCCTCTGGGAAGAGTTCGTACCAGTTCTCCCCTTCTCCCCGCCTCTTGAGACCAGCCTCACAGGCCCCAGGCTGGAACCAAAAGCTGAGGAGTCCGGGCAGTGGGTGTGTGGACAACGGCCCAGCGAGTGCTCTGCGTGCCTAATCCCTGCTGAACGGCTATGAGCAGCCACAGTGCTTGCAGCCCCAGTCTCTGTGTGTCTCTGTCTGTCTGTCTCTATCTCCTGTCTCTCTTTGGTTTCTCATAGATATCTGCAGTAAGCATAGCACTGACCCACAACGCAGCTATACTTTTTTTTTTTTTCCTGCAAAAGCATCTGTTTAAACACTTTCTGCCTCACAGGAAAGAACGTTAGTGTATTCCAGGGTGGGAGGGCTCCTCGGCATGTGCAGACTCTGTGGGGCATGTGCCTGCGTGCTCACACATGTGTGCTCCCCAGCAGGGCGTCTAGTGCTGGGCACGGTAGGTCTGGAGCAGAGATGCCCATGCAGCCCAGCCCAGGCTTGCAGGTGCAGATGCAGGAGAGGCAGCTTTAGAAGTGACTTCTTTTTTTGTGTGTCTTTTTCCTTTTTTATCGGTACCGGGGATTGAACTCACGACTGCCTGCTTATAAGGCAGGCGCTTATGCCGCTGAGCTAAATCTCCAGCCCCTAGAAGTGACTTCTACAAACGCACTTGGAGTTAAATGTGGGCTTGGGGACTCAGCTCTTCCCAGGTCCGGAGTCTTGCAGGAGATGGGAACAGCACTGAGGGGTGTAGAAAGAGGGTCCAGGGGTGAAGGGTGAGAAGGGAGCTGCTGCTCTAGATGTCTCTTAGACCTCTGGGGAAAGGCCCAGATCAGTCTGTCCCAGGAACTCAGTCCCGGCCTCTCCTATCCCTCTTACTGGCTTCTGGAAGAGAGACCCTGGATAGCAGAGCTGGCGTCTGGCCTCTGTGCGTCCTGAGAGTCCACCCCAGGTGTAGGGTTTGCACCTAAAGGAGGGACTCGCTGCAGGACCAGGGTACCAGGTGAAGACTCCATGAACTCCATGTCGCTTTGTCAACCTGTGTCTCAGGTTCCTCATCTGTGAAAGGGTGTAATGACCCACCTCTATCTTGCCAGGCAGTTTGAGGTTAAGACAATAGATGTGAAAGTGCTTTGAAGAGGAAATGGGTGATGTTTCTTCAAAGCAAGAGGACGCAGGTCATAGGCATGCAGTGCGGGGAAGCTTCACAGTGTGAATGCACTACAGTGTCACACCTAGATCAAGAGACGTCCGGGGACAGGGTGACGCTGCTGATCCCTGCTCCTGGCCTTTTCTTGAACCTTGCTTGCATAGCATTCTGCTGTGACACTTGTCCGGGGTCCCATGCTTTCGTTTCTGCTGGGCCTGCAGCAGCGGTAGGGACAGGAGTTCAGCCTTAGTAGATGGACCCATTTTCTAAAGAGTGGCTGTATCAAGTTACTCTGCGAGCAGCGGCACCGGGAGTGCTGGTTACACATCCTGCCCACACTTGGTTTTGTCTCTTTGCCGTTTAGATTCAAGGGAGACTCATTAATATGTCTTTCTTTGTCATCTCTGATTTAGATCTTGGAAAGGACTTTGGAACCTGATAGCTCTGATGAAGAGCCCCCGCCTGTGTACTCCCCACCGGCCTACCACATGCACATGTTCGACAGGCCTTACCCGCTGGCTCCCCCGACGCCACCGCCCCGGTGAGGACTCATCTCTTTTTTGAGCACAGGGGAGCAGGGAGGGAGTGGTTGGGTGAGGACTCATCTCTTTTCTGAGCACAGGGGAGCAGGGAGGGAGTGGTTGGGTCGCGTAGAGATGCCACAGGAAACATAGATCAGGCTTCTACTGCGGCAAGAGACGTTATAGCTTGATACCATGGAGAACATCTAAGTGTCAGGATTGTATGAGCAAACATTTAAATTCCTACTCTAGGCCAGGTAGTGTGTCCCAGACTATGTGGGACATGGGTACGGCTCAACCTTTGCTTTCTGGGATTGTAGTCAAGGGAGAGGCTGGAGAGGAAGGTAAGCCCCAAGAACATGTACCAACATGCCCCTGACACTCCCCTTAGCCTGAGGAAGTTTCTCACTAATCACTGTGTGCTTTCCTGCTGAGTCAAGGTGGCAATCAGTAGCTGTCAGAGTGGCTATTTCTTGTCATCCCCAGGATAAGGATATTGTGGGGATTTTTTTTTCTTCTGATACTGGAGATCAAAAAGCAAAGCCTTGTACATTTTGTTCAGTCTCTACCACTGAGCTATACTTCAATCTTTTAAAATTTTGAGACAGTCTTGCTAAATTGCCCAGGCTGGCCTTAAACTTGCAGTCCTCCTGCCTCAGCCTCCCAAGTCTCTGGGATTAAAGGCACAACCTCAGTGCCCAGCCACCTTAGGGGACTTTTTAAAACAGTGGGAGGAAGCTGCTTTTTCTGGGATAGTATGATAGCAGGAGGCAGGAGGATAGACTGCGAGGTCCCTGGAGACTTGACTTTTTTAAAGGACTTTGTGAATGGAGGCTCAGAATGAAGGGACCAGTTGAGTTTTAGAGAGTTGCAGATGCAGCATCTTAAGTTAGGGGCTATTAAAAGCGTACAGAAGGTGGCAGGCTGGGCCGGGGTGTGAGGCAGGGATAAATGGCCAGTCTGGGTGAAGCTGGGGCAGGATTCACATTCTCCAGAGGTCACAATTATTGCCTTTTTTATTTTGTACCGGGGGTTGAAACCAGCAAGCACTGAGTCATATCCTCAGCCCTTTTTATTTACATTTACTTTTAGTTTTGAAGCAGGGTCTTGCTAAGTTGCCCAGGCTGCCTTTGAACTTTTGATCCTTTTGTATCAACCTCTCAGCAAGCTGAGAATATAGGCATGGGCCACCAGTGGCTGACTAGGACTTATTTTCGTTTTAACATCCCAAGATACTTTTGCCGAAAGTTTCTGTTAGGCAGAATGGTTCTGTCTGCTTTACCGAAGGGAACACTGAGGCTGAGGAGTGAATGCCAGCATACTCCTGCGGTGGGTTTGTCCTGCCTCATCCGTCCTCTCTGCTCAGCTGTGGTGGGGTAGGCTAGGGGCAGGGGCAGGGGCAGGGGCCGTGCAGCCCACCGATGGGTGCCTCACTCAGACCAAGGCTCTGGGGGCCTTGCTTAGAGCCTGTGGGCTTCGGCCACCGATACTCTGGCCTGGACCTGACCCAGGAACCGAGGCCTTTCCCCTGCAGGGAGTCTGCACATTGCAGAGAACGTGACTCCCCCTTCTTTTGCTGCCAAACTTCTGATGTTTCGGGGTCTCTGCTGCGTCACCTAACCTCAGCTTCATTTGCTCACTTGGGGAATGGGGTTATTAACCTGCCCCTCAGCACTGTTACAAGGATTGAGCTGTTGTGTCCGGAGCACTTAGGGCAGTGTTGGGGACAGACCGGACCTATAATCGGGGGTTACTGCTCTTCCTGCCCCACTGCACCGGCTGGCCTCAGAGGTCAGCTCTAATTCTGAGATGCAGACCAGTGCTGAGGCTTCCCTGGCTTCTAGCATGCACCAGCAGTAGGACCAGCCCCTGAGCAATGCCCTTTTGCTCCCATGGCCTGGTTAGGCCCAGATCTACCTTCCCCGGGCCTTCTCTAGGGCCTTATTCAGTCTCTGAATCCAGGACATTGGTTTCCAGCAAGTCCCTGGCAGTGTGCCACTGCCCTGCCATGTCTGTGCCCCACAGATGAACAGACTGCCCTGCCCCCTGACTCACACCCCAAGGAGATTGGAGTCCAGGAAGTGTAGACACAGGGGCAGGGAGCTGCCTAGAAGGACCGCTGTCCACGCTATGAGCTGAAGGCCACACACCTTGGCATTGGCCCTGTGAAGTAGTGGATGTGAGGGAATGCCAGGCACAGGAGACAGCATGTGCAAAGGCCTGGGGGTAGAAGAGGGGCGTCTGGGGTCTTGGAACTCCTGGAGGGTGGAGCACTGGAGGAGGCCACAGAGGCCAGCAGCATCTATCTTACCCTGCAGCTTTGGGGAGGCCATGAAAAGATTTCAGTGGTATGCTCAGGCTGGTGTTTTAGGACTCTCGCAGCTGCAGAGAGGGGTCAGTCTTGAAGGAAGAGAATGATCTGAACCCTGGGTGTCTGAGAGCCTGCGGGTGACTTGAGTTTGGAAGCTTGGACATTACTCTGGGGGTCCTAAGAGGCAGGACCTTCCCAGAGAGTATCTTAGTTACTTTTCCCATTGCTGAGGCAAAATACCTGATACCCAAAGTAAAGGGGGAAGTGTTTGTTTAGCTCACAGTTTGTAGAGGTTTCACTCTATAATCAGCTGGCTCCAAGGCAGGCTGGTTTGGCCGACAGGCCTCACAGAGGAGGAATAGTTCATGGCAGGCAGAAGCTAGCAAAGCAAGCAGGCAAGCAAGGGGCAATCACAGCTCTTTCTGCCCCTTATATTTTATCCAGGATACTTAGGACAGGGAGCATGCACACCCTTAGCCCTAGTGCCCTTGAGCCTGGCATGGCACTGTGAATGAATCCCAGCACTACACTCTAGATCCAGCCACCTCTGAAAAAGCCCCATCTATGACTGCATAAGGCTTTGGGAGACATCTAGACACAAGCTGTAACAGAAATCAAGCCTGGAACACAGGGTTCCCTGCACCTTAGGTGACTCATGTGACCTGGGACAGGGCCTTTCCCATGTTGACTTCAAAAATCCTGCTGGAAAGGCCTCTCTTTTAAGTCCTCAGCCTCCAGGTCTGACACTCTGTGAGTAAACCCAGCTCTGATGGAGACTGTCCCCAACCTGCTGTCTCTCTCCCCTCCCTAGCCTGTCCCTCCTTCCATCTGTCTGAAAGTCTCTGAAGTCCGGGAGAACCGCCACACAGGCCACCTGCTGTTCTTCCATTGAAATTGCAGCCTTGGAAGTTTTTGTATTTGCCTCTCAGCTCATTTCTGACATTCCTTTCCAACCACAGTGGAGTTTCCTAGGCTGCCTGTGGTCTCACACACACACACCCGCTGTTCTTGCAGCTGAGGCCTGCCTTGGTCTCTGCCCAGACTTTTGCCAGGGCCCTGGGCCTGGTGAGCCTGAGCGAGGTCCTTTGTCTAGCACCCAGGACCCCACAGCAAGGGAGACTCATGGAAAATGGGGACTCCTCTGTGCTGACCCCTGCCACTTGGGTGTTTTGGCTAGTGGGATGCAGAGACAGGTCTGTAGCTTTCTGGGTGACCCCAAAGGGGAGCTGAGTTCAGGGTATGCACCTGTGTCCCCATATGGAGACTCGAAGGCCCAAGACAGGGTCATGACCCTAGAGAAGATTTCTCCCAGCTGCAGCCAGAGGTGGTCTTTAAGTCCCTGAGACATGGGGCATCCTCTTGGGCCTTGGGAGGAAATCAAAGCCTGTGATAGGGACAGAGGTTGCCCCCACCGAGAATTCCCTGCTCTGTACTGCAAGAAGGTGGCCGTATGTGGGGTTCCCCTGGCTCTGGGCTGCCAGGCTGAGTTCCTTCCATGCTCTTAGCAGCTGGTTATCCGTCTGCTGCCTCTTTTTCTCTCTCACCCCCGCTGGCCATAGGCCCAAAATAGAAAAGGAAAGGAAGTTATTTCCACAGTCCTGGAGCCCAGAAAAGCTCCCCTCCAGTGAGGGGGCGGGCGGGATTCCTGGAGCTGGAGGCCAAATCAAAGCCAGGCTGAGCATGAGAGAGCCCCCACCACCCCCAGACCTCGGCTGCCTGCTCAGTGTGACGTTTCCCTGATTCAGCAGAACACGTGTCCTGCGGCTGCCACGCTGCAGGCTGTGGAGGAGCTGGGGGAGCTCTTGGCTGGGCTCCAGGCTGCCCTCAGGACCTGGCAGTATCACTTCTCTTCCTCTCCTGCAAACCACCCCCCCAAGGACCCCCTGCCACCCACCCTTCCTTCAGGTGGGCTGGCTGTTGGTGGCTTCTGTCAGTACTTCATTTATATTGTGCTAGGCGCTGGTACAGAAGCACCAGAGGATACGACCCTTTGACTATAGGGAACATTCTTAAACATCTATGTCCAAATCCACACCTGACTGTTAGCACCATGAGCTGAGTCCTGAGCCCAGGGGGTGCTCTGAGTAGAGGGCATGATGGTCACCTGAGCTCAGGGCCAAAGCCAAAGCCAGGGACAGAGCCAGGTGGACTGAGAAAGGCCTCCTGGGATGAGATCAAAGCCACTGTCTAAGGCAGCAGGAGCTGGGAAGCCCTGAGCAGGGTCCTGCCTGCCTGAGGACCACATGCAAAGGACTGGAAGACCTGTGCTTGGGCCTGACTCCTCTTCCTCTCCACCTCCCACCCCACAGGATTGATGTGCTGGGGTCCGGGCCCAACCCCAGCCAGAGGCGCTATCGGAACTGGAACCCCCCACTGCTGGGCAACCTCCCTGATGACTTTCTCCGCATCCTGCCCCAGCAGCTGGACAGCATACAGGTAATGGCTGCTGCGTGCTCCCCCAAGTCACTTGCCTGTCTAGCATCTCTCTTCACCCACACCATTTATGCCAGCCAGTCAGTTTTGCTTTCTGGTCATAAAGCTCAGGCTGAGTTATTTCTGCTGCCCTGGGTCTGCAGGGAAAGAATGCCCAACCAAAAGTCTCACTTCCTGTCTGGGCCTGGAGGTTGCCTGTTCTGCCCAGGAGAGGTGACAGTCTAAGGACACTCTCTGACTGTAGCCATCACCTCAGGCTGGAGAGAAAGGGTCTGGAGCACTCAGTGGCTCCTGCCCCTTGAGAAAAGGCTGGGGCAGCTTCACCACAGACCTTGATAGGTTCTAGAGTGTCCCTGCAGAGCGTGTGTGTCTCACCCTGCAGAGTGTGTGTGTCTCACCCTGCAGAGTGTATGTGTCCAGGGAGAGGTTTGAGTTTGCCTGTCCATATGCAGACTCTTGAGCTGTTAGCAAATGCATTTGCAGGAGCCTTTGGATTGTGGATGAAGGAATGAGGGGAAAGATCATTTTTGAGCCCTCGTTGCTTCCACAAAGAGGCCGGCCTCAAATGTGAAGGGTCCATGTGCATGTAAGTGTGAGTGGCTGTGGGTGCAACGTGTGCCCTTTTGGGTAGGCCTCAGCATGCCCCTCCCTCAGGGTAACCCCCGGAGCGCCAAGCCTGTGAGTGGAGAGGGAGGCCTGCCTCCCACGGCCGGAGACCAGGACAGCCGCTGGAAGCAGTACCTGGAGGACGAGAGGATCGCTCTCTTCCTGCAGAATGAGGAGTTCATGAAGGAGCTGCAGCGAAACCGCGACTTCCTCCTCGCCTTGGAGAGAGGTAGCCACTGCCCCAGGGCTGGAGAAGGAAGGATGTGGGCTTCCGCAGCACTTGCATACTGTTGAGGCACAGCCAGCACCAGCGAGCCTGAAGGAGCCCCAGAATTCTACCGATGTGAACTGGGGCACCAGATACTCTCTGCCTCCCTAGGGACTCACAGGAAGAGGGGTGCATCTACTTCCTCCCCCTGCACATGTGCTGGGTGCTCAGCACTGGCGTTGGCTGGGGGTGACAGGATGAATGAGCTGCCTGCCTTCCTCACTGGGCGCCAGCCACAAGGCTGACAGACAGCCTGAAGCTCCAGGAACATGGTGACTGGCTCCACTGGAGCCACAGTGGGGGCTGCCTTCATGGAGGATGTCAGGGCAGGGCATTTGGGTGATCTTTGGGAGGGGCACCCTGCTCCCCAGCCTGGCTGCTGCTCCCCTTCAGGATAAGGGGCTGTCTGGGTTGTGGAGGTTGTTAAGAGTCCCAGTGTAAGTAAGTGTGAGACTGATGTGCTTTAGCAGGGAGGAGCACTGAGAATGGAGGTGAAAGGGAGAAGGTCCAGACGCTGGCCATGCTTTATAGCAAATGCTGAGAGCCTCAAGGCACTGGCGGGCCACCTGTGGTGGTGCACACCTGTGATCCCAGCACTTGGAAGGCTGAGGCAGGAGCATTACCACGATTTCGAGGCCAGCCAGGGCTACATAGTGAGTTCAAGAGCAGACTACATAGGGAGACCTTGGCTCAAAAAGCTAAAATAAACAAATATAAAAATAAGTCAAGATTCTCTCAGCCACCATCCAATTCTGACTTTCTACCAGTTGAGGTAGTTGCCAGGCAGCCATTTCTGTGTTACCCCTGGCTATGTCTGTTCCTGTATCCTTTGTGTGTACGGGTACACTTGTGTGTGATTCTGGGGCCTCAGCCTCCTCCATCTTGCAGCATACCCCCAAAGACCAGGAGCCCGCTTCCCTAACAGGAATGTGGTCCTTTTCCAGATCGACTGAAGTATGAATCCCAGAAATCCAAATCCAGCAGTATGGTTGTGGGAAATGACTTCAGCTTTCCCTCTTCTGCCCCAGGTAACCTTGCCTTCTGGGAGGGCACACCCCAACGCTGCCTTGCCTATTTAGAGTTTGGGGGCAAGGTTTGAAATAGAGGCAGGCTGCTGAGGCCCCTCAGCAAACTGGGAGGGGTGGTGCTGCCCCCACCTCTGCACCTGCCATGGAACGAGATGTCTGCTCAGCAAGTGGCCCTGGTCCTCGCTAGTCTGGGCCTGCGGGGTTGAGACTGATTGGGTGAGCTCCTAGCCTGTGCCTGGTGAGATACATCATACCACACAATGTCCCTGTTTGTTTTTGCAGTATTGGGGATTGAACACAGCATCTTGGACACTTTAGGCAAGTGCTGTACTACTGAGCTACAATCCAGCCTCTCTTCGTTTTGACACAGAGCTTTGCTAAGTTTCCCAGGTTGGACTCAAACTTCTGGTCGTCCTGGCTCAGCCTCCTGATGGCCAGGGTTGTAGGCACGGGTCATCATACTCAGGACACATTTGCTGCTTATAGAAAATACATGGAGAGGAGGAGGAGGAAGAGGAGAAGGAGGGTGAGATCAATCTGGGAAGGGTTTACTCATTCATTAAGCATCTGGGAAATATTTGCTGGGGGCCAGGCCCTGCACCAACTGTTAAAGGAAGAGAAATTTCAAGCTTTGAGTACAAGGTCATGAAAACAAAAATTGCATCGAGAGAGCCAGGCCCTTGTGCTTGGAGCCTCTGGCAGAGGGCAACCAGGGCATGGGCAGCAGTGCTACTGGGACACATGGACTGGCGGGTGAAGCCAGAGCTGGGAACATGGGGCAGAGGCCCTGTCTTCACTCTCACCATCTGATCTCTACACCTGTGTGGGCACAGTGTCCCCTATTTGGTTGCTGCCCAGGCACAGAAGGGCTCAGCAGTTTGCATGGAAGAGCGTGTCCATGGGGCACAGGAGTGAGGCACGCAAGAGTGGCAGGTGGGGCCCAGCTCAGGCCGGCTTGAAGAGAGAAAATCCTGCAGGCGGGAGCTTAGGCCCTAGCAGATGTGTATCTGGGCATTTTTACCGAGCCTCTTGTCCTTGATCCTGAATTAACCAGAGACACCAGGGCTGCTGAGGTGGATCAGAATGATTCAGAGGGGACTTAGCAGACAAGGTGACTTGGGATTAGTTACAGGATGGCTTTAGAAGGGCAAGGAGCAACCTAAGCAGGGCTGGTGGGCCCAGAAGGGCTCTGGTTCTTGGCTGTGCCCAGTGATCTGAGGGCTGACCCTGGAAGGGAGAAGGGAAGCCCACTCAGAGTCTGGCCCGTCCATCTCACGCACACAAGATGCAGGCAGAATGGTTAACAGTGGCTCTGGGTGCAGGGGAAGCCTGGTCCGTCACACTTGGTGACTTCCATGGCATAAATACCCCCACCCCCAAAGTACAGTGTGACATTGCTCAGAGGAGTGGACAGCCGGGACCCCATGCCAGCTGGCTTTCCATGCATGCAGCAGACTATGAGTGTCCCCATTTGCAGCTAGGCATGGTGGTGCCACATACTTGGAATCCCAGCACTTTGGGAGGCTGAGGCATAAAGATTCCGTTTGAGTCTCACCTGGGCAATTTACGAGACCCTGTCTCAAAAATGAAAAAGGCTAGGGATGTAGCTGAGTGCCAAGGCCCTGGGCTCAATCCCCACCCTCCCCCTGCCCACCAAAAAGAGTGTCCTCATTTTCACAGAGGGGAAAGCCTGGTTTGCTGGGGAAAGAAGTGCTCCTATACCCCCAAGTGTCCTGGCTTTAACCTCCCTTCCGGTTTAAGGGCAGAAGCCTGCATCTTTGCTGCAATGGGAGGTTAGGACTCAAAAGACAGCCCAGGGGCTGCCCTGCCTCACCTCCCTGGGGCCTCAGCAGCTACTTGTTCTTGTCTCAGAGACCGGGTCCCTCAGCAGGTGTCTCCTTCTTCCAGGAAACAGTGATGCCAACCCTGCTGTGTCTGAAGATGCCTTATTCAGGGACAAGTTGAAACACATGGGAAAATGTGAGTCTCGCCTGCAGCCCTCTCCCCAAGTCCCAGCTCTTGGGAGGCGGGCAGGGTTTTGAGTGCCGCTGACGCTGGGTGAACTGGAGTGACATTTTAATCACAGCCTGGCTCCCTCAGCCTTCCTGCCTCACTTCCCTCTGCAGCTGAGTCTGGATACAAATTAAGTTTAAATCCTCTTGGGCCAGCTGTCTGCAGGAAAATAATGTGCCCCACATGGCCTCACCCGGATGTTGTGTTCACATTCTCTGTGGCTTGAGGCAGCTGGCACTGTCTGGCCCTGTGGGGGGTGGGGGGAGGCCCTTGCGAGGCTCCTTTTGTTTGGGGCGGGGTGGGGGGGGGCATCAGGGTCAGGGATCTCTGCCTATGAAGTCCTGCCTTCAGAAGCCCTATCCTTCCAGGCTTCATTTCAGGTCCTAAAAATCCCAGGACCAACTCTGGAGAGACTAAGGGAGGGGCAGGAAAGAAAGCCAAATGCCGGGCTGGCAGGCTGTGGCGGCTGGAGAAGGGATACCCGGATCTTGGGCTGCCAGTGGGTCCCGGGCTTGGCTCCTGGTGGCCTCTGCTGCCCCTGCAGGCCGACCTGGGATAGCAGCCTTGCTCCTGAGGTGGAGCCTGGGTCTGCCTTTCCTATCACCGCCCTTCCCCCAGCTCCCACCCCAGGGGCCCCTGGTGCTGCTCTGGCCACCCCCAGGCTTGGTGCTCGCGCTGCCAAGAGAACAAACAACTCACAGGTCTCTCTGCCCCAGCCACCCGGAGGAAGCTGTTCGAGCTGGCTCGCGCCTTCTCCGAGAAGACCAAAATGAGGAAGTCCAGGAGGAAGCACTTGCCTAAGCATCAGTCGTATCCTTCTGGCCTGGCACAAGATGGATGGTGGATGCTGCCTGGGCATCCTGAGGCTGTGCCCTTGCCAGCAGTGGCATTGAGTTCTGCAGCCTCCTCTCTGCTCCATGAGCTGGGCTGCTTGGTGGCCACCCGTCTCCTGGAGCACCAGGCCCTGGCTTGGGGAGCTGGGCAGAAGGAAGTTATTTGCCCTGTGATGAGGATGATGACATTGGTTCTCCTCTTCTTCCTCCTCCTTTTCCTTCCTGGGGGAAGAACTGGTTCTTCAAATGCAATCAGCAAACCTTCCCTGGGTCCTCACACTTCACTGGGAGAGCCCCACCTTCTCCTTTTCAGTGCCTTGAGTAGCAGTGAGGTTTTCCATGTTTTTACCCAGACTCCCATCCGTGTTGTTGAACAGGGCCAGCATACTGGACAGCCATGGAGGAGCAGCGAGAAAGTCCCTCTCCTATTCCCAGAGATATTTCCGGGAACCGAGGGTCAGGGCCTGGCTCCTCTGCTGACCCCAAGAAAGGAGGCTGTCGGGACAGGGTTAGAGGACAGGCAAGGAGGCCTCCTGAGCTTGGTAGGCGAGGCAGGGCATGGGAACGGGTTGGGCCCTGGTGCTGCTTGTCTATCTCCAGGAGAGTTTTCCTGAATGGTTCGGCAGGCTGGGGGCCGCCGCATCAACAGCCAATCTGCTGGATGACGTGGAGGGCCACGCTTGTGGTGAGGCAGGGAATGGAACCTTTGGCTCCAATGTGTCTGTGATGGGTGACACTGCAAGAAGAGGTCTTGGGTGTTCCAAGTCAGGGGACCATGTGCTGCATGGCTTCAGCCTTCCTGCTTTCACCCGGTCTCTTCCAAAGCCATGGGTCCTCGAAGACCCTGCCAAGCCCTATTGCTTTCAGATCCTACCAAGCCACACCCAGCTGAACCCTGATCTTCATGCTATAGGGCCTTCAAGGCCAGGAGACTTCTAGATACAAGGACCAGAGGGCCTTGGGGGTCTTGGATAGTCCAGATTCCCCTCCTATTTTATAGATGAAGAAACTGAGACCCAAAGAAGAGGAAAGAACGTATCTAAGGCTTCAGAGCCAGGCCAGCACGCAGGGGTCCTGCTGCCTCTCAGTAGATGCATGCTTTGCCCACCAGAGCCAGCATGTGCCCCATTGGCGGGGGGGGATGGCGGCTGCGGGTAGAGCATGAGGTGGCTTCCCCCTGCTTTCAGATGAAGACCTCCGGGGCAGGCGGCAGGAGACATCCAAGATGGAGGAAGCCCTAAGAGAAGGACAGTAAGAGGTAAGTCCCAGAGCCATGGCTGTCTGGGGCTGCGTCCCCTTACACGACTTCCCAGGGAGACAGAGGCACCCAGCTCAGGCAGCTGAGTAGCACGGATCCTGGGTCTCTTCCCTCATCATGGCCAGGGACAGGGCTTCTGCATACAGACTTCATCTTTTGCATTTCTTTTATTTGGTTATTTACTCATTTGACAAAAGATCATCACACCTGCCTTGGACAGATGCTAGGAACAGAAAAACAGAATCAGCTTTTGACCTTGGAATAGCTTACAGCTCCAACGAGAAGACAGTCCCAGGGCCACTTAGCACAGAGTGGACAATTTAAGGAAAAAAAAAAGAGGTGGCTGGGCAGATCATCTTCTGCTTGGGTTGGGTAGTCTGGGACTTGCCACTCCAGGGGAGGCAGTCCTGTCTCCAAGGCAGCTGCTTCTCCCTTGTCCCTGTAACCCCTCTGGGGGACAGATAGGGAGTGCATGGATGGCCTCCTGTAGGACCCAGGCACACAACCCCCACCACCACCACCATCTAGAAGCTGCCTGCCCTGCCCTACCTGTGTTCCAGGCACTGTGGTAAGCGTCCGCCAGGTTTTCTTGAGCTGTGGTGTGGTGGGTACCCCCTCAGGATGCTGAGCGTGGTGGAGGTGAGATGCACAGGTGCAGAGGGCAAAGCCAGTGAATGAAAGCACCCTCTTCCATATGGGCAGCTGGCCTCTCTTCCCTTGAGTTGCCTCCCTTCTGCCTCTCTGCTCAGGTGCTTCCAGCCCCCTCTCGCCCTCCCAGCCTTTCCTCAGTCGTCACAGAGCTGTACACCTGCTTCCCACATCTCTGGGATGCCCAAATAAATAAAGGCATTCGAGGAAACATCTCCATCTCCATCCCGTGTTGCACCATACACACACTGGTGCCCAGGGAAAATGCATCCTCCTCCAAACCACCCCTGTCTCAGAACCATGTTCATTATTTCTTTCTCTTCCAGTTTTTCCCTTAAATTTACTTCTCCCTCTTTCCCAGTGGGAAAAGCAGGAGAGGCTAGTTGATGGTGCACGCCTATAAACCCAGCCAACTCCAGCTCTTCAGGAGGCTGAGGCAGGACAATTCTAAGTTAAGGCCAGCCTGGGCAATTTAGTGATATTTTGGATCAAAATAAAAAGGGCTGAGGGTGTTGCTCAGTGATAGGCGTCCTGGGTGATAGGTGATAGGTGCTCAGTCTCCAGCACCACAAACAAACCAGGAGCACCATTTCCTTTACTGCCCAGCTGACAGGAGAGTGACTTCTTCCTTTACCTACCGAGAGCTGACAACTGCGAGAGGACTCACAGGGGAGGTCACCTGCCAGCACCAGGGCCTCATGCTCCCTGCGTACATCTGGTGCTCCCTTCCACATGGTCTGTTCCTAAAGCTCCTTCCTCAGTTCCGGTGACCACAGGAGCCCCGTTCTTCCTACCTTCCAAGGCTCTGGTTGCCCCTCCCATGCCCTCACTGCTCACTCATGGCTCTGCCCTGACCCTTTCAGCCCCCACCCCGGCCAGCGCCACCACCCTCATGCACTTGTCTCCAGGACAGCTGCTCCTCCAGATGGGCTCAATTCATAGCTGCACCGTGTGTCTTTCCAACCCTGAACATCAGCTCCCTGAAAGCAGGCAGTGCCTCCCTGTTTCCTCATTCCATTTCTCATCCCCATGTCCTCACCCATAGCTCATCACCTGTTAGTAGCCCTAGCTGCCACCCACTTCACCACGTTTTTGCTCTTTGTGTGGTTCTGGGTCTGTGTGGCCTGGTGTCTGGGACCCACCAGTTCTGGCTCCACTTTACTTTTCTGACCTATGACCCCCTTGGCGTAGCTCACCTAAGATCCCAGCCAGCAAGGTGGGCGGGCACTGCCCCACCTCAGCACGCACACAGCGGCTTCCTCCCTGTCCCATCCCACTCTGCTCCTTCTGCAGTCACTGAGCCTCTAATGTTCTGCAAGTCACTAGGATGACCCAAGGCAGAGTTCTCAGGTTCCATCCCCTGGAGAGAGGAGAAGGAAAGGAGCTCCTAACTTTTGGTATCTTCTGCCCAAAAGCATTTCTTTGGAAACCACTGATCATAAAGACGCCCCCCATCCTCATGCTGGGAAGTGAACCCAGCTTTCACACTAAGGTGCATCTTTAGCCGGTTTTTCATTTTTTATTTTGAGATAGGATCTTGTTAAGTCACTTAAGTTTTGCCCAGGCTGGCTGGAACTTGTGATTTTCCTGCCTCAGCCTCCCAGGGTGCTGGGATTACAGTCGTGCACCATTATGCCCAGCCAGTGGGCTCCTTTGAAAAAGACTTCACTCATCCCTTTTCCCTGCTAGGTGCCCGCAGCTCCACCTCGCCAGGGATGCTCTGACCCGATAAGGGCAGCTGGAGAGCAACACAGCACCCTGCTAAAGGGCCCGGATGCAGCCGAACTGATGGTGCTTGATTTCAGAGGCCAGGTGGTCCTCCAGCCATGGTCCAGCCCAGCCACTGCCACCTTCCACGGGACCTACAACTTTGGAGTCGCCATCCTGTGATTGGAGGAGGGAACTTGGGGCCTCTAGAGGCAGCAGCCAGTCACAGCCTCTTCTGCAGCCAGGCTTTTCTACAGCAGTGGGTGGAAATGCAGGAACCACCCCTTCTTCTTAAAAAAACAGAAAACAAAAAAACATGGAGGAAGTGCAGAGGTTGGAGTTTGGGAAAGGGCAGGATCAACCTAAGCAGGCTCTTTGGCCTGCAGGCGACTTCCTTCCCTCCTCCCTCCCCCCTTCTCTCCAGCCAGGTGCCAGACTGCCTAATCTACTCCTCTCCCCAGCTCTGGGCACCTTGTGCCCTTTCTTCCTGAGGCCACCTGCATCTCAGCCTTTTCCAGGGGCAGCAGTACCACAGGGAACCATGGGTAGGGGGAGACCCTGGGCGCTCACCAGTGTGCCCTGGGGAGCGACCCTCGGCACCCCTCCAACCAGCAGGGGAGGGGAGGGGTTCTCAGAGCCGAAGGGCTCTGGCCAGGCAGACTCTGTTCTCCAAGGGTGGGCCGTGGAGGGACTCCAGAGTGACACCCTGGAGAAAGCGCAGGGCTGGGTGGGGCGGCTGCCAAAATCCAGACAGTGACGGGAGGAGGACTCTGACTCCACCTACGCTTAACCGGCAATACCACTGCCAAGGGGAACGAGCCGCGTCTCTCCCCGATCTGGGCGCGCGCAGCCAGGCCAGCTTTCCCAGCGCGGGCTTCTGGGGCGCGGGGCCGGGAGTGGGATCCGATACAGTGTTTGGTGGGGCGCGGGTGGCCGTGAGGTACTGGGCCGTGGTGAGGGTGAGCCAGGATCGCGCCCCGGCCCCCGCTGCCCCTCTGCGATTCCGCGCGCCGGCCGAGTGTCTTCAAGCCCGCAGCGTGAGCAAGTTTGGAAGCGGGATGCTGGGGCTCCATTCGTGACCCCAACTCCTTCCGGCCAGGGCGAGGCGCAGCAGGGGAAGCCCCAGCCCCAAGTCTCTGTGTGTTGTTGTTTTTTTTCTTGTATGTGTGGGTTTTTTCTTGGAGCTGTTTCATAGAAACTCCTGTAATAAAGACTTGGTGTTCTCTTGGTGCTCTGATGTGGCCTGCAGTTGTGGGCTGGAACCCCCTCGCCGCCCCCGCTTTGTCTCCTCTCTCTGTCTGCACAGGTCTTGGCCGCCTGAGATCTGTGTCCTGCCCTCCAGCCACCTGCTTCTCCCGCCTCCACCGTCTGCCCCCCCCCCCCCCAGGAATTTCTAGGCCCGGAAGCACACCAGCTCCGTCCCTACTGCACTCTTCAGGCAAAAAGACACCTGTTGCCCTGCACCGAAACCTAACCCTCTGGCTTTGTCCAGCGCCCTTGTCTTCCTATTTGCTGCAGGAAAGTCAGCCTTGCTGCTAGGCAAAAGAAACGCCTGGGGAAGCCAGTGTGTTATTGCTGAAAGCTGCTGCCCCCACTCCGGGTCAATTGCCTAAATAAACACAAAGATTCTGGATTAAAGGCGGCTGGAAGGGCAAGGGCCTGCGAACTCAAGACTTCAAAGGGACCACGGAGACCTTGCGGTTCCCCTGCTCCTAGTCCCACACAGGACAGGAAAAGAGGCCACAGGCAGAGGAAGCTGATGCTATTTTCAAACTCGGCTGGCCGCTTGAGGTGAAACCTCCTCCTTGTGGGGCACAGAAGGCTGTCCAGTAGCTTCTGTCTTGCTCTTCGCCTGTGGGTCACCATGGCCAAGCCTACCTCTCGCCCCTCTGATGCCATGTTCCCAGGCAACCAACTTTTTCTTCTGGTACCGACCCACTTAATCCGGTGGGCTTGAATAATCACATGTCTGGGACAGCCTGCCCCCACTGCCCTGGCTCTGCACCTGATTCACGGACAGCTGCCTACCAGTACAGGCCTTGGAGTGTAACCCCAGCCCTACCAGGGACTTGTTAGAAAGGCCCGTTCCCAGTCCCAGTCCCAGTCGAGCCCCATGAGTCAGAAACTTGGGTGAATTAGTGTGATTCCACTGCATGCCATGTACTAGATTAGTTTGGGAGCCATGTACTAGATTATTCCCTAGTACTGGCTGTGTGCAAATACTTTTTAAAAATTCTGTAGGGGCTGGGGATGTAGCTCATTGGTACTCACTGGCATGCAGGAGGGGCTGGGTTCAATTTCTAGCATGGGGGGTGGGGTAGGGAGTGAAGCTACATTTTAAAATCAGGCTCAGTGATGCATGCCAGTATCTCAGCACTTGGGAAGCTGATGCAGGAGGAGTATGAGTTCGAGGCCAGCCTGGACAACTTTGTGAGACCCTGTCTCAGAAAGGAGTGTAGTTTAGTGGCACAACACCTTTAGGTGCTAAACACAGAAATATCCAGATGCTCAGTATTACAGACCAATTAAATCTCCCTAGATAACTCAAGTTTGCAGTCAAGTCTGAAGACGGGCACACTAAGCTGCCCGTATCAGCTCACCTGACCTCGCCTAGTAACAGCTCCTTTACAGATGATGAAATGACAGCTCAGAAAGCTTAAGTAATTTATCTAAGATCACAAAGCTAGAACTCCGTTAAGCCAAGAGGGACCAAGAGCTGCCTGACCTCAAACCTTATGCTGCATACAGTATTTCCTGCTACTCCAAGAGTGCTCTGTGATCCAGCAGCATTACCATCACCGCAGAGTATGTTACAATCTCTGTTATCAGTCCCTACTCCACACGTAGTGAATTTGCAATTGGGGTGCATTGTAAAAGGTCTTCAGAAGAGTCTGACACATCCTCACATTTGCGAACCATGGTTCTACACCTTGGCCACTCAGATATGCTTGGTGGTCCAGCAGCAGCAGCTGCAACTGCAGCAAATTACCTGGACATCCCAGACTCTGGCCCAGACCTCCTGAACCAGAATGTGCATTTCAAAGACTCTTTAGGTGACTCATGTGCACATTACAGCTTCAAACTTGCTGTATGTTAGAATTTTTGTGGATGCCAGAGTTTCTTTTGTCACTGGTTTGGGATTTCACCTGAGAATCTGATTATAAACTCTCAGGCGATTATAATGTATAGCAAAGTTTGAGAGCCATACATTGTTTTGCCTATTAATGTAGATGAGATTGAAGGTGACTTCCCCACAGAGAGAGAAAGAAGGAAAGGGGAGGGGAGAGTGAGAAAGAACGTACACCACACACATCCTGTGGAAGAGTGTGGCTGGGACCCAGGACGGAGATGGACCAGGCATGATGGTGGCACTAGCATCTACCCTTGTACACCGTGCTTATCTGCAAGAGTCGGGCTCCCTTGAGCCACAAGATGATGGGATTTATCCTTTGCAAAATGCTGAGCCAGGCTCTCTGGAGTCTGCCCCTACTTGTGGTCCTGGGGCTCAACCCCAACTTCCAAGGGAAGCACAGGTTTGGAAAACACTGCAGCCCTTTTGGGGCCCTACCCTCCTGTTCTTGAAGCACCTGCTTGGGGGTAGGAATTAATGGTTGGAGGAAAAACAGGAGAGTTTGACCTGAAGAATAAAGGAGGCCAGCAAGGTGGAGGTGATGAGAATTCATTATATGACAGTCACTCTTCTGGGGTGCTTTGCAGGCATGATTTTACCTAACCCCCACAACATAGATATACAATCAGCATTACTCTCTTTTTCTATACACCAGAAAACTGAAGTCAGATGTGGTGGTGCATAACTCGGGTCGCTGAGGCAGGATTGCTGCAAATTTGAGCCCACTCTGGATTACATAGTTCAAAGCCAGCCTGAACTACATAGCAAGACTCTGTCTCAGGACCCAACACAGCAAACAAAAAGGAAACTGAGGCATAGGGCGGTTCAGTTCCTTATTTGGCAATAAGTGTTAGAACCTGGATTTGAATTCAGGCAGCTAAATTCTAGAGCTAAAGCCTAAATGCTAAGTTGTATGTTGGAGCCTGGAAGGAGACAGGGATAAGGCCCAGGATCCCCACATGGATGCTATTTCCAGAGACTAGAGAGTGACGAAACATCTCCACAGACATCTGCCATACGGCACTGTGCCCCAACTCCCTGCTAGCATTTTTTATCTGGTTTAAAAACAGTCTCTTAGTATTTCCATTAAATGACAAATATGCTGTTGAGCGAGCAGCACATGAACTCCTTCTGCCCATTATCACAGCACAGATTAATTTGTTGGATTAGCGGGCTGGGCCAGCTAGCGGAAGAGCTGGAAATTTCTGGAGCTAGCAGAATTTAAAGGAGCTGTGTAAATCTACTGCCCCCTAGTGATCACCTTGCAGAAGTGGCAGTCATTGGCCACCAAGAGATGGAACATTGTTTTCCCAGATGTGAGCACCTCTTAAAACCTAAACAGACTGGAGGGAATTTGTTCACAGGATCTTGTTTTGCAAGATTTACAAACCGTAGGCATTGGAGGGGGTTGTTCTGGTTTTATATTAAAAGGGTCATTAAAGATACTTAAGTTTCAGTATCTACAAAACTAGCATGGAAGGCTTAGGCCTGGAGTTAAGTGTCATTTCTAGAGAGTAAAGTGTCATTGTTCCTTTTTAAAAATCTTGTTTCTTTAGCTTATTTCTTTTGGCAGTACTGGGGGTTGAACTCAGGGCCTCAGGCATGGTTGTTAGCATGCACTCTACCAATTAGCTACACCCAAGCCTTAGGTGTCACTCTTCTTTGTGATGTCAAGAGGTTTATCCCGAGGACTCTGGAGTGGACAGCTATGAAGCTCAGTATAAACTCAGTACAAGATTTCTTGCTGTGACCTCACTGGTTGCAAGTGTGGCCCGGTTGCAGCACTTTCAGTGCTAAAGCTGAGAAGGCCATTAATCGACACAAGCTTGGGCAAGTTGGTTGTTCTGTCTGTAGACTAGAAGCCCTGATATTAAGCCAAAAGCTTGTTGGTATTGCAGGCTTTCAGCTGACCCGGTGCTCCTTGTATTTCTTAGCACTCTTGGAGACTGAGGCAAAAAGAGCACAAATTCAAGCCTAACCTGGGAAACTTAATGTGACCCTGTCTCATAATTAAAAATTAAAATAAGGACCAGGGATGTAACTCAGTATAAAGGCCATCAGTTCACTCCTCAGTACTGGGGGGAATAAAAGCAGTTTTTCAGTTGAGTGTGGAAGCACATGCTTCTACTTGCAGCTTCTCAGGAGGGTGGTGAGTTTGAGGTCAGTCTGGGAAGGTGAGATTCTTACAAGAAGAAAGAGCTGGAAATGTGGCTCAGTGGTAGGGTGTCCTGAAATGGTGCCCAGCATGGTGGGTGGAATACACTTGTAATCTCAGCACTAAAGGAAGCTGAGGCAGGAGGATTGCTACTACTTTGAGGCCAGCCTGGGCTACAAAGTGAATTTAAGACCAGCCTGAACTGCATAGTGAAACCCTGTCTCAAAAAAGACAGGGCAAAAAAGAAAGAAAGAAAGAAAAAAAAAAAGGCTGAGCTTCAGGCCTCATGCTGTATTCCTCAAGATCTCCAGGAGACGCCCGTGTACACCTAAAGACCAGCTTGCTCTGACTTCCCCAGCAAGAGAAGTACCCTTGCCAGCCCTGAGAAGTCAGAGCAGTGTCTTTGGGAAGGCGGGGTAGGGTGGGGAGAACATCACAGAATGATTCCAATTAACCTTTAACTCCAACAATCAGAGGCCAGGATGCTGCCCCTGGCCAGCTGGCTCTTGCTTCCTGGCTTGCAGAAGAGGCTGAGGGGATGCATATCTCCCAGGCCAGGTAAGGGCAGAAAATGCTCATCTCTCCTCTGCCTAGATTCTGCTTGCATTCAAAGCCCATTTGGTGAAGAAGAGAGCAGACAGCCACATACAAATGTCTTACAAATGGAATTTAACTGTAGGCCATTGCTGCTTTCATGTGCAGAGTAGTCAGATGTTGTCATCATCACTCATATGTGTTGAACAGTTACTAAACACCAGCCGCCAATCATCTGAAGCACTTTGCTGGTATTGACCCACTGATCGCTTGCTCACAAGGCTTTCTGCTAGGTGCCCGATGGTCTCCATCTCACAAGTGACACAACTGAGGCCCAGAGGATTTGTAAAAGCTCTGAACCAGGTGTGGCGGTGCAAGCATGTAATTCCAGCACTCTGAGAGGCTGAGGCA